TGAAAGCCAGCCCGAAGAACTCTGCCGCATTGGAAACCATTGAGGCTTCTTCCTTTGTTGTTTGTCTCGACGATGCTGCTCCTGTGACCCTTGAGGAGCGCGCGCATCAGTATTGGCACGGCGACGGCGCAAACCGTTGGTATGACAAGCCTTGCCAGTTCATCGTCAATGACAATGCCACCTCGGGCTTCATGGGAGAACACTCCATGATGGACGGAACCCCGACTCACCGCCTCAACGACTTCATCAACGACCTCATTTTTAACAACAAGATTGATCTCTCTGACCCTTCCATCCGCTCCAACTTGCCGGAACCTCAGGTTGTCAAGTTCGATGTGACGAAGGAGGTCCAGGCGGAGATCGACCGCGCGACTAAGGACTTCCATGATGTAATTGGCCAACACGAGCTGGCTGTCCAGGCGTATCAAGGCTATGGCAAGGGTCTTATCAAGAAATTCAAGTGCTCGCCCGACGCCTATGTTCAGATGATTATACAACTGGCTTACCACAAGATGTACGGCAAAAATCGGCCCACCTACGAGTCGGCTGCTACCCGCCGCTTCCAGCAAGGCCGGACCGAGACATGCCGGACCGTTTCGGATGCGTCGGTTACATGGTGCAATGCCATGGCGGATCCTAATATCGAGGATAAGGATAAGGTCGACCTGTTCCGCCAGGCTATCGATGCCCACCTCGAGTACATCACAGCGGCCTCGGATGGCAAGGGTGTTGACAGGCATCTTTTCGGGCTCAAGAAGCTTCTCGAGCCGGGCCAAGAGATACCGGCCATTTACCAAGATCCGGCGTTCTCGTATTCTGCTTCTTGGTATCTCTCAACCTCGCAGCTGAGCTCCGAATTTTTCAACGGATATGGATGGAGCCAGGTTATTGATGCTGGCTTTGGTATCGCCTACATGATCAACGAAAACAGGTATGCCTCCATGAATACGTCACCAGTGTCGTTTATAATCTGACACATTTAGCATCAACTTCAACGTTGTGTCCAAGGGTCTCGGCAGCCAGCGGATGAGCTTCTTCCTGAATGAAGCCGCTGGCGACATGCGCGATCTGCTCATGCCGACAATAAAGCCAGCAAAGGCTAAGCTCTAGAATCGGCGCAAGCGGAACCAGGTTGTTATCTGAATAGACGCGGTCAATACTTCCCGTACAAGCTCGTATTTGTGTGTGAGTGCGCCTGGTCGGGGCGGCCGGATGTGGTTTTTAGCATCTATACAGTAGAAGCGTGTCAATTATAGACGGACCAGGTTTGTCAACCAACTTGACGATCAATTTGACCTGTTTCAATACGTATCGCTCGAGTAATTGTGCGCTATCCTTCAGAACAAGTAGCCAACGTAAGTATTGTATTTGCTTCCGAAATTTTCTCGAGCTCGAATCCTTCTATAGACAGGATGGGGATGGGGCACGAGTGAAAGCGCTCGGATAAGCACGCTGAGTCAAAAGAGAAATCGAAGGGGGCCAAACCCAGAAGTCGCAGGTTGGGTTCTTATAGGTACAAACGGATGTTGACTTGCAGTGTGAAAATGAGCAAACCGCCGCAATGCTGACGCCCACGATGCAGCTCAATTCTTTTGTGATTTGATATCGGAAGAATGTCGGACTAGCCAGAGTGAGATACAATCTCGTTGACCAAATCACCCTTGCTCTCGTCAAAGTAGGAGCAAATCTGGGACGGCAAAGGCACCTCCTTGTAGTCCTCGTCTTCCCCTGAGATAACGTTAAGGTTGATGCCGGAGGACTTGCTCGAGTAAATCTTGGTTCCCGTGCTCTCCTTGCTGAAATAAATCTGGGCACCATCGATCGAGTCCATCAAGACGGCCGGCACAGCACCGAGCACTTGCAACGCAAAATTTTGGGACTTGATAACATCCACTGTGGATATCAGAGACTCCACGATGAGGGACAGACGCGTTGAATTCTCAATCGTGACCGCATTGGCCTTGCCCTTTACAATGATGGTGGTATTGTTGCACCTGCTGATGAGAATTGAGTGAGAGATGGAGGCTTCGATCTCGATCGGCTGGGTTTCCTTTTCGAAATTTTCCTATCCGAATGTCAGCAGTGTTGCACTTTCGACGCGTAAAATTGTCGTATCAGGCCTACAATGGTCCACTTGTTGCCCTCGAGCACCTTCTTGGGTGGCTTTTTAACGCGCATGCTCTCCGGCTTCGGCTTTCTCTGAGGGGCTGGGCTCTTGCCGCGCGCCGAACCATCATGATCAGGCACTGTAGAACTGGCACGAAGAGAGGGGTTCTTATGCGTCATCTCCGACCTGTCAACCTTGCGCAGACCTTTGGTCACGGCTTCGCCCTTGTTCAGCTCGGAGAAGACTGCACCCAGCCCACCTTTTCCGCCAGTCTCTTCCTTAATCTCAAGAACTGGAGGAGGGCCGGGAGGTGGTGGCGGCGGGGGCAAAGCACCTGCGGGAGGCGGTGGGGGAGGAGCGGCGGCGGCGACGGCCGTGGCAGACGCCGCAAGGGACTTGGCAACCTCCTGAGCCGGCTGGCCCTTCGGGTTCCATGGGATACCGTTGGGAAAGTGCTGCTTGACGTAATCGGCCAGATCGCGGAAAACCTGGTAGAAAGCGTTAACCCACTCCACCTGCTGGGTGTCCCTGTGAGCTGCCAGTCAGCATAGACAAACACACCGGGTTAAAGCCATCAACCCAGGAGACAGCTTACTTGTCCTTTTGCTCCTTCAATACCCTGTTACCAAAGAATTGTGCAGAACCCAAAGAATCGTCAACGTGCTTGTAAGGACGATTGTCGACGGTGACCCATGCGAGGACCATAGATCCTTCAGCTACAGCGCTGAGCTGCACGAAGACGGGAGAACCTCGGTTAGATTCTTTGATGTTGCTGACGGCAACGAGAGCCTCGTTGATGGGCTTGAGCAAGTCCTGGTACACGGCCATCTCGGCGCCGTTCAAATCGGGCTTCTTGGCCTTGGTGGTGATGAGCAAGAAGTGACGCTGAGCTTGGAAACCCTGCAAAACCTTGGCGGCCTATATTGCGAACACTGTATCAGCATCACCTGTAACTTTCGCTTGATGTATCTTGTGCCGGACGGACCTGATCGGCAATGAGACCACCCAGCTGCTTGCTGATTTTGACATATTTGTCGACGGTTGTGGCTAACAACTGATCAAACTCTTCGATGGACTCGGGAACGGGTTCGGGAGGGGCTTGGGGAGCGGCGGCAGCTTGCGGCGGAGGCGGCGCAGGCAAAGAAGCATTGGAGGCCGACGGCGGGGTGGCAACGGATTGGTTTAGCGAGGGAACAGCTTGAGGGAGTTCGATGGTAGAAGAGGCGATATCTTCGAGTCTGGCAGTGGCAGCTTCGAGCCTATTTCCAAAGTTAGGAGCTTCTACAGCACTGTCCAGGTAACGTCGGGCAAAGGCAGGGGCGAGCGCTTAGCAGAAGTGATCGAATCTGCCGCATCATGGTTGATGCCAAGGTTGATTTGCGCAGAACGTGGGTGATAGACGCGTACCGCTTGATGAGGGTTGTAAGGTTGTGCATATTGTTCGTTGCCATATTAGTCCAAAGTGAAGCCGGAGCTTCTCGTAAAGCAAGCAGAAAGTGCAGGGGAAGTTAGGTCGGGAAAAGGACAAAGGTGGATGATGGGCAGGAGAGATGGTGTGACTTCAGGAGTCGGGAGATGGAGCTCTCAATTGGCGGGGTGTTCCGGTAACAGCAATAGCGACAGGAATAGCGATGGCAGGACAAGTCTGCGGTGCTTGATGCTTCGCAATGCAACACGGCTTGGGTTTGCAGGGCAGGGAGCTCGAGTCGGGTCGAAAGGTGGGAAGAGAGACCACAAAGTATTGTAAGGAGGTTTCAGGAGATGCGGGCCTGCTAGGATGGGGATAAATGCGTGCGCGCTGGGGCGAAGCAACGGCAATGGAATTGGGCGCACTGGAAGCTGATGGTCGACGGAGAAAGGCGGCGCAGGGTGCAAATGGCGAACGAGGTGTTTTGGAAGGGTGTTATCGCAAGCATCCAATATCATGCCCAAGACGGTGTTGTGTACAGAAGCAACACGTACCCTGGCTGGAGGCAAGTCAGGAAGTACCTAGAGCTCGAGTGGACCTTACGTGCCTAGGCAGGTACATTAGGTATGATGGGGGCCACCTTACATCATCTCACGGTATCCGAGGTGTTGTACCTAAGGTAGCTGCCCATTTTCTAACTGGATACGTGAGAAGAATGCTGCCCTCTTTTAAAGCTACCTACCTACTTTGCCTAAGGCAGTCAGTCAGGGAGTATTAGCCGCAGGCACTCGATCGAAATTTCTAAAGCCAAGAGCACCAGAGCCAGAGTGTCTTCTTCTCTTCTATCCCATTTCTAGACCCATGGCCAAAGCGTGAATTCGAAGATACTCTCAAGTGAAATCGTTGCTCAATTGCCAAGCCATTCTTTACCTTGGTTGCCTGTGAAGTATCGCCCTGCCGAAAACGGAGTAGGTACACCTCATAAACTTCACTACAGGCCTACCCCGTCTATAACGCTGCCTGACATTGCGTCTAGACAATGGCACCACCAGTACCTCAATGATTAGGGCAGTTAATACATGCATCCATAGATGTAACAACCGGAATCAAACCATCTCGGAAGCTCGAAAGTGCCTTTATCGTGGTGTCAAGAACCTACGGGAGCTGAACATCAAGGCTTACCGATCTTGATCTGCTTTTGTCTCATTCCGACTCAGGCTCGGGCCCTAGCTGCAGCTTGCGATTCACATGCAGTACTTATCTTGCCTCAACTGCGCTCCTCACCTTACGTGCAGAAATCTCCATACGCTCACAGGCCACGTCGGTGTCAATTCCAATTCTTCCCACCCTCGAATCCACCCGATCAGGTACTCTGGCGATAGCGCCTTTCTTCTGGGCATAACTGAGTCTAAAAGCTCCATCTCAACCACGAGGTAGCCCGGGAAAAAGACTCTCAACCACCCTTCGCCAGCAACAGCGGCCACCATGGCCGACGAAAGCACACAGAATGGCCATGAGCGCCGTCTTACCGAGCAGGAGGTCGCTGCCTTGTCTCCAATCGACTTCGTGACCCTGGGCATGTTTATCATAGGTACCTAAGTCCCAGTGCCCACAGCTTCTCCAAATCCAACAAAAATGGCCGAAACTAACACCTGAGCTGATAGATGAGATCCATTTCTTACCACCCACGCCGCCAGTTCAGGACATCCTCGGCGGCGCCGGATCTTACGGCGCCCTCGGAGCCCGCCTCTTCTCGCCGCCCCCCGACGCCTCGTCCGTCGGCTGGATCGTCGATCAAGGCTCCGACTTTCCACAGTCACTAACTAACATCATCAATACTTGGGAGACATCTGTAGTGTTTCGCGAGAACCCTGACCGTCTTACAACGCGCGGCTGGAACGGCTACGAGACAGCTGAGAGGCGCGCATTCAAATATACCACTCCCAAGAAACGCCTCACCGCCCAAGATTTGACCCCTCACCTGCTACTCTCTAAATCTTTCCACCTCATCTGTTCCCCGACGAGATGCAAGGATCTAGTAGGTGATATTACATCAGCTCGCAAGCGCGTATGCCCGTCTGACCTGTATACAAAACCTATCTTTATCTGGGAACCCGTGCCTGACCTCTGCACCCCTGATGAGCTACTGAACTGCACAAACACTCTGCCGCTGGTTGATATTTGCAGCCCAAACCATTCAGAGTTGGCAGGCTTCATGGGTGATGACGGCCTGGATCCCGAGACTGGTGCCATCTCAAAATCAGCCGTTGAGAGATCATGTGAGCAGCTTTTGGCTAGCATGCCTCTTCAGTCCTTCACCCTTGTTGTACGCGCAGGCGATAAGGGCTGCTATGTCGCACGAAATGGCGGCCGTAAGCGTCAACCTGCTACACGTGACGGCGCGGGTACAAAGCGCCGCAAGAAGGACTATACAAGGGGGGGTCTCCGGCCAGATACCGATATGGAGGCTTTGTTCGCCGGCCTGCTGCAAGACGACGAAGGAGTCGTTGTGAGAGAAGAAATCGAGGTTGACGCGGGCACGGAGACATGGATCCCAGCCGTCCACCAGGACCCCACCAAAGTAGTAGATCCAACCGGTGGAGGCAATACCTTCCTGGGCGGTCTTGCTGTCGCACTTGCGAGGGGTAAGAGTGTCGAAGAGGCCGCAATATGGGGTAGCGTAGCAGCCAGTTTTGCCATTGAACAAGTCGGCGTGCCGACCCTGGGCGAAGATGCCGATAGCAAGGAAACATGGAACGGCGTTCGAGTACGAGATCGACTTGCCGACTTTCAATCTAGGTTGTGAGTAGCACAGCGCAGCAGGGACATAGACCAGATTAGACAGCCAGTCTCTATACCAAGAAGTAGAAACGTTGCAGAAACAAACAAGGAGATTTCTCGTCTCGTTCATTCACATCAAAATTCAAGTACGTATATGGTCTGTCTCCACGCGTCCAGACTTTGGTGTTCGTCTCCTGACTGCTCTAGTTAACGCCAGCCTTCCATTACAATCAACTTTACTTCCCCGATTCCATATCACATTAAATCTTGTACACGAGTTCGCCATCGGTATACCTGTGGTTCGATCAGCGTGGTTAGCGAATGAACAAGAATGAGCAGAGATGTTGGGAATGGCATACATGATCTGGTTGGCTTCGTCCATTTTCTTGAGGGCCTTCACACCCTCTTGCTTGCTGAAGGCACCGCCACTACCAGGCCGCAACTTGCTGTTGACGGCGTTTACAACTGCGTCTACATTGGCAGAGTCATCTTCGAACAATGCTGAGTTGAGGAGCTGGCCGAGAGTTGTTCTGAAGGTTGCCAGCCGCGAAGCACTGATGGGCTCGTCCGCGATGGCAAGACCGGCCGTCCCTGACGCAAGCTCATCTTCATCTTCTTCCTCCTCTTGGGACTGTGAAGGCAGCTGTGACACCGGTACAGACGACGCAAACGATGTTTGTGTGTGTGAGGTCGCGCTCGAGGCAGCAGCCCGACCAGAACGACGCGACCTTCTTGGGGTGGCATCGTAAATGTCTTCCAACGCTTCCCGAGCTGGCGGCTCCTCGTCGCTATCATGCTGATCACTGTTTGTGCCATTAGCATTGGTGCCCGGTGTTTGCGTGCTACCATTCACCCGAGGACGAGCAACTCCCCTGGTCGACCGCGTTGACCGCGCCGCCGGTGTACGAGTTGTTGTGCTCCTGTAGTTACCATCCTCGTTGTCGTCATCATCGGAGCTCTCCTCGCTAGAGGAAGCGAATTCAGTTGTCTGGGTCTTCCGTCGCTTCTTTCTTGACTCGTCTTCGACGACTTCCTTGAACATTGCGAAGCGGAGGATGGCTTCCGCGGCGAGGGCATCACGCTCGGTAACGATTTGCGAAAGACGGGACTTGGCATGGGCGGTGGCCAGACGAATTAATGTCTCCAAGGTACGGACAGTCAATGGGCTAGTCCGTCGTTGATTGCCTTCCATTTCGTCATTTCGCAACCCGACGTAGATGTCCGCGATGCGATCCGATGCTTCTTGGGTCAATTTGGGCTGCACCCTCTTGGCGTACTGTATGTACTTCTTCATGAAAGGAATACTAAGCACCTCAGGCTTCTTGTTGAAACCGCGTCCCGAGGTGTGAGTGACGCCAGCATGGAGCATGGCATCGTACTTTTCGAACACGTCCGTTAGGCGTTGCACATCAGAGTCGTTGCTCAGGGCGACTCCGAGGGACTGATTTCCGTTCTCACGCACCGGCGCACCTTCTTCTGTACCGGGCTGTCGGTAGCGGTGCATTCGCAAAACATGCTCCGAAACCTGCCTATCTCGCGTGTCCTCAATGTCGTCAGTGACAACAAATAAGAGATCGAAACGCGACAAAAGGGAGTCAGGTAGCGCGATGTTCTTATGAGGATCCTTGTGGGTATCGTATTGGCCGAAAATAGGGTTGGCAGCTGCGACAACGCTACATCTGGCATTCAGGGATGTGTGAATACCAGCCTTGGCAATTGTGACGGTCTGTTGCTCCATGACCTCGTGGATAGCAACACGGTCAACGTCAGACATCTTGTCAAACTCATCGATGCACACTACCCCTCTGTCAGCCATAACCATGGCTCCCGCCTCAAGTCTCCTCTCTCCTGTTTCCTTGTCTGACGTAACGGCAGCAGTGAGACCGACGCCGGAAGAACCACGCCCAGTAGTGGCGATGGCAAGAGGCGCTGTATTCAAGACAAATCGAAGCAGTTGCGACTTGGCGGTTGAAGGATCTCCCACCATAAGAATATTGATGTCACCCCTCAAGTGGGTGCCGTTCTCGAGGTTCTTTTCAACACCACCGAGGAGCATCAGCAGGATAGCCTTTTTGATGTGGTCATGTCCGTAGATACTAGGCGCCAGTGACTGGGAGAGGAGTTGAAGAAGGTTCTTCTTCTTGGCGATCTTGTTGATATTGCGGATGTCGGTATCTGTGATCGTGTGTGTGGCGACCCCAGCTCCAGATTTCGAGGACAAGAGGACGATGTGGTTGGCGATGATGACGGTCTTGAACAGGGCGCTGTTATGGTTCGTATTTCTGTTTCCTAATGTCCTGTAAACTCCCACGAGTTGGACGCGGTCGCCAGGCTTGACTAGATCAACCAAGTCGTCGTCAAGTATAACATCAACTCCTCTGGGCAGTTGACCAGCAGGAGCACGCTCTGGCATTTCTTGAATAGATACGGTCTGGTGATCTCTGTAAGTGCTGAAGCCGTACTCGGTAGTCAGGGGATTTCCCTCGTCATCCTCTTGAGGGTAGGCACTGGATGTTGTAACTCCATTTGTCATGGTCTGATCTTGGTATTCGCGGAAGTGGAAAACGTCCTTGTTTTCGTTGTAATGCACACTCTTCACAATCTTTGGTCGAATAAGCGAGCACCTGGTCACGATGCCTTCGAGCGAGACCATGCTGTTGAGATGCTGAGAGGAAAGGGTGCGTGGGTTGCAGGCATTCATACCAAAGCTGCCTGCCCATGCGCAATAGTATGATTCGTCGTTGAGCTTCTCTGCATCGCCTGAGTCTGGCAACGTCTTAACGATCTGCTTCAGAGCATGGTTAAATGCGAGAGTGTAATCAAATGGCTGCTCGAGGACTCCTCCGGCGAGTTCGGGGTTGTGGGCGCGGAGTTGGTCAAGATTGACTACAAGCCTCCGTTTCTTTTTCTGCATCATCTGGATAATCGCCGACCTGTAACTGCGTCCTTGCGAATCGTTTTCTGATGAGACGCGGGTCAGTATATAGCAACGCTGGGATATCGTGCATTTACACGAGCAGCCGAGGCAAGGGAGGGCGTACGAGGGTCGAGGAACTCTTGAGCCGCACGAACGCGATCCAAGGCGGCTGCATCCTGCAGCATGAACGAGTCCATCGTGAGTGAGGGCTCTGGTAGCTTCGAAGTTCAGAGGTAGACAGGCCAACAAGAACGTCGAGAATGAAGTAAGACGAGAGGGTATTGAAAGAGCACGTCAGCGTCACTTTGTGGCGATACAAAGTCGCAGTGAAGAATTGCCGTGGTGTTAAGAGGAGGAGAGGCGAGGCGGTAACGCTGCGCAGCAACGAGAGGCGGGTGCAGACCTGGACGAAAAAAGGAGCATGTATGTGGTGGGTCGCAGCGCGTCCTGTCATACAGTGCAGCGCGTCTTGACAGGAGATTTCGTAGAGGGGCGCGGGGAAAGCGCGTTAATTGAATTCTTATGTAAGCCCGTATCTCATTGCGGGCAGGTAAGGTAGGTACTCAAGTGGACCCCATGCCTTAGGTAAGCACTGGGATGTGGTGATGTGGCTGAAGCGAGCCTTCCTGGGTTAATCAGGAAACAAAAGCTCAGGTTGCTCTTCATGATGACTGATCCTTCTGTGTCTGTTTATCCCTGTCAGCTTGCCTTCTGGGCGTGCTACATCAACCCAAGCTCTAGCTGTGACAATGACTAACGAAGCACATCGGCGAACGGAAAATGGCATGCCTGCAGTATCCGGCATGTTGAGCTGCCAAATGCTGGCCTCCCATTGCAGCCGTCTTGGGTCAGCCACCCTCCACACCTCTCCTTGGTATCAAGACCGGTGCCGTTGGATCGGTCCAGAGTGTGTTGCCAGATAGCTCCTGGCTAGTGTATGAAGTGATGTACGCTACCTCATAAAACCCAGCCGTTTGGAATACCCTGGCCAACACTCGCCCTCCTCATACTTTACCGTTGTATCGCAGGTACGAAGCGGGGAGCTTCTTTGTCCAAGTAGTGTACATATCACCATCATAACCAAGTGCTTAGGCAAGTGCTGGTTTCCGAGCCTTCGGATAAGCATCCTCTTCACGCCAAAAAAGGGTTGCTTATTAGGCGCCGCTGCCGGTCGCTCAAAGCGGGAGGCTGTGGTAAGCCCCCATACTTATGAAATGCGAGGTGTCATTCATGGACCGCGTCGCATGTAGGTTTCTCTACAACGATTTGGGTAATAATGTTTCGGTCAACCGCTTCTTACCCCGGGCCACTAGGGTGCCCTCGGCCTTGTCTGTGCGGCTCGTTATCTATGGCAACATCCAACAACACCGCCGCCGCCTACCGCGATTAGGAAAGAATGCAGCCGTTCAACAAGCTTCCCGATTATGTCCTTTGTGCAATCTCCTTTCCGCCCGTGAGGTCAGACCGCACCGCAGCGCAACGGGGACGACCACGGAAGCCCAAAATCCGGCCCGACAAAAGTCGGCATCCCGAAGACCCATCATCCAGACCCGGTGTGGAAAGCCCTCGGCCATTATCCACCACCACCCCACTTCACTTCAATCGGGGCCATGGTCTGGATTACGAGTTGCGGGCCGATGCAAATTCCCAATTATTGGTGACACAACAGCCAGCGGCACGGGCTCGCCAACTACATGGCAGCATCCGGTGTTCCTCTTCCGCGTTTCGTCTTCCATATGAGCGACACCAGAATACAACAAATAACTGGGTAACGGCAAAGAAGGGGGCTCGTCCAGATTGAATGGAGCACAGTTGAAGAAGGCTTCTGTAAGGCGATGGGACGTCACTTACCGCGGTCAAGGTCATCTTTCGATGGCCATGTGCTGTCGGCTTGCCGAACCGCGGCGCGGCACATCATATGTGCACGCAGGAGTTCATCCTGGCAGGGGACTTGAACTGGGGCATTGCCGCATTGCCAGGTATCACGGGTCGCTAGTCACGGGTAGGGAGGCCTACGGTGTACTGCGTATACGCTACCATGTACGAGCCATCGAAAGTTACCTTATGGAGGACTCCTTCCCGCTTACATGCCCTGAACTCTACTCCCCGCGGCCACGCCCCTCCCCCCACTATGGCGGATGCCCCTCCGTCTTGTCCAGAGTCCTGCGTCCCGCCGGCATGGTCCCAATCACGACAAGTGGTCTACCACACTGGCATTGCGCTAACTGAGATGCGCTGCATGTGTGTGCATGCTGGAAACCCGAGCAGTATCTGCGAGGTGTCAGATGAAAGCCGACGGGGTTCTCCTAATTGTCGCGATGTGCTGGGGTGTTCGGATAGTGTCGATTGCTCGCGGATCCAGCCTACCGGCACTTCGCATGGCAGGACCGCCGACCCCGGCAGGATACCGGGCCTGGGCCGAAGTTTCTTCATAAAAGGGTCCCCGTCAGCCATGTCGGAGAGGGTGGCATCTATCCCTTCCCATGGCACCACGGACGACTCCCTCCATCGCCACCAAACCCCATCGGTGTTGCAGATTGCCTTTCAAGCTGGTGTCATCGTCTCTTACATTACGATCAAGACATAGTTTCTCGTCTAGGCCCGTCGCTTTGCGACCCCACCACATCAACCTACGAGATGGTTCTGAAGGCTCTGAACTCTGTTGAGTTCGCGGACGCAAGCAAGTCCGCCGTCCTACATCGTGATCTCAAGAGCCAATTCCTCCGTACTGTAGGTGGCGAGGGTAACTGCTATGTCGTCGACGGCGGTCGGAAGCTTTTCGATGCGTCCGGGGGCGCCGCCGTGGCATGCCTCGGCCATAGCGACAAGCGAGTAGCTGAGGCTATCATCCGGCAGCTCAGCAACATTGCCTACAGTCCCTCTACTTTCTTCACGACGTCGGTATGTGAGCAGTTGGCCCAGTTTCTCATCAACACCACACATGGTCACATGTCAAGGGCCTATCTTGTGAGCAGCGGTATGTTTGCAATCTTTGAACGCATAGTCCTGGAGGCTCACATGCTTGGCAGGATCCGAAGCAATGGAGGCGGCCATGAAACTCTCTAGGCAGTATTTCCTGGAGAAGAAGCCAGCAGAACCACAGAGATATCTTTACATTGCCCGCCAGAGATCGTATCATGGCACGACGCTAGGCGCATTATCTATGGGTGGCCATGTCGCACGCCGAGCTAACTTCAAGCCCATGCTCCTCGACAATGTTGTGTCGCATATTTCCCCATGCTTTGCGTACAGGGATAGGTTGGCCGACGAATCGGACGAGTCCTACGTTGCAAAGCTCGCCAAGGAGCTCGAGGACGAGTTTATTCGGGTTGGCCCTGGTAATGTATGCGCATTCGTAGCAGAGCCAGTTGTTGGAGCTGTAAGTTGATTCCACTGTACCCATCCCATGATAATCTGTAGTCACACGGGCTGATCTCTGGGTACGTTGAGGCACTGGGTTGTGTTCCGGCTGTTCCAGGCTATTTTCAAGCAATGAAATCTGTGTGTGACCGATACGGTGCGTTGCTCATCATGGATGAAGTCATGAGCGGCATGGGCCGCAGTGGAACTCTCCACGCATGGGAGGCCGAGGGTGTTGTGCCAGATATCCAGACCATCGGCAAGGGTTTGGCTGGGGGCTATCAGCCGATAGCCGGCGTCCTCGTAAACAAGAGGGTGGTTGAGGTGCTAGAAAAGGGGACAAGGTGGGTTTCGGTTCCCCGGACATGCCTCTGACGTCAGATTTGTCGGAAAGTGCTAATAAACGGCTGGCGACGACAGTGCCTTTGTTCACGGACACACATATCAAGGACACCCTGTCGCGTGTGCGGCAGCCCTGGAAGTTCAACAGATCATCCAGGCAGACGGCCTGGTGGCCAATGTGCAAAACATGGGTCAGCTCTTATCTGGTCTTTTGAAAGAGAGTCTTATGGACCATCCATACGTCGGAGACATCCGGGGCAAGGGCCTCTTCTGGGGAATCGAGTTTGTCCGCGACAAACAGACCAAGGTGCCATGGCCTAGTGCAGCGCGAATCGCAGCGAGTATCAACGAGCTGGGGTTGACGGAACCATACGGCATTGTTGTTTACCCGGGCTCAGGAACAGCAGACGGTGTTCTCGGGGATCACATCATTGTAGCGCCTCCATATACGGTGACAAGGGACGAGATTGCATTTGTCGCCGAAACGGTGACGCGGCTCGTCAACGATTTTTTCTCGAAGCTGGCAATTCAGGGGATCTGAAAAGTGGAGGATCGTGGGCTAAGACGACGGATGTCAAACAATGACAAGTAAACTCAATGGCTGGAATATACTATCATGTGTCGTCCGAACCAGCCAATTGCGTGTTTTACCGTAAGGGGTCAGTCTATACATTTGAACCTAACAAAAGTCTGTCGTCTCGTCCCATCCCATCCCATCCCATCCCGTCCTAGGATGTAGAGACAATGGATGAGTATTGTGCTGGTTGCAGTCAATCCTGGCCCGACTTCTGCTTGCTTTCTCCTACGTGTCATGTCCTTCACAATTAGGGCCTTCACTGTGCACGTCCATTGCAAGGACAAGGCAGAGGCATATCACGTAGAAAAGTACGATATGGAAGCTAAGGTAGTCGAGGTATTGAGACAGCATAGGATGAAAGTGCTCAGGTTCTCGTGCAGTGTGGCGGGAGATCTTCTAGGAGACTAGGACCCTCACACATAGCGGGCTGGTTGTAGGTGCATACATGCATCGGCTTTCATAACAATACACCCCTGTCCCGGTCCACATTCCTGGACCTCAGAGACGTCCAGTGCCTGTGCCTCCCTTATTCGTCTGTACTGGAGGCACCTTAGGTACGGATAGGTTAGGTAAGGTAGGTACTTTTACCTGTCGTCTTTAGCATACCTAACATGCGCCGCAATTTAGCACTTGAACCCCAACCTAGCAGCCGGAGGTACCCACCCATAGGTACAATAGCTCTTGTCTCCCACGTCCAGTCAGTCCCCTCGTCGGATCCAAGCAGCTTGATCCGGCCCTCCGTTCATCCTGACCTCCCTCTCGACTTCTCTTCGCCGAGTGCGACCGCCGCGAATACATCGAACATATACTGCCCTATCTGACTCGACCAACAACGCCACATTCGTTCGCCTTTCCCATGTCAGTCCGGGCTGAACATAGGCCGCAACCGACATCCTAATCCCTCCACATCTGCTTGCCAACGTCGCTGTGCAGCAGCAAGTCCCTTCGGAACATTGGCACTCATCATGTCTGTCGGGCCTGCGACAAATCGCCATGCAGCCGACGAGGAGGCTCGAGCCGAAGTCGATGTGCTAAACTCGCGTCTAGAGAAGACAGCCCAATTGACAAAGAAGATTCAGGCATGCATGGGAAGGCTGGAATCTACGGGCAAGAGTGTGCGCGAGGTCGCTGGTCCCCTGAGCGGGGAGACGAAGAAGCTACAGATCCTAGGAAATAGTGCGTTTATTGCCATGCCCACAGGAGATCACTTGCGGTCATTCCCCTTTCCGCCTCTCCATTCCGAGCTGGAAAACAACGACGAAGCATGCGATAGCGGCAGCTGACCAGTGACCTCCTCAACAGACATCGATGCCGTCCTCTCCGCAATCGAGCGCTTGCGTCAGCCGGCCGACAGCAAAAACGATGAGGAACAGATCATTCGTGCTGGCCCAGACAAGATCGGCTTGTCGAACTACCTGGCCTCCATCAAGCGTCTCAGCAAATCGCTAGCCGACATGCAGGCCTCCAATCTCCGCGCCAACCAGCAGACCATGTCGGAACTTACACGCTTGATTAAGTCTGGCAACTCCCAACTTGAGAGTCACTTCGATAAGTTGCTTCGGGGAGAAACACCTCGCTCAGTAGAACCGCTCCACTATATTACAAAGGATGTGCCGTTTCCTGTTCTGTCACAGGACAAGGTTACGCGTCTTGGCTTGGTCAACGCCTATATCTCCAATAATCACCGCCAGAACGGGGGTGCTGCCGCTCCTCAAGATTCTTCTACCGCCAAGATATACGCCGAAATCCGCGGGCCCTATCTGTCTTCTACACTGGCAAATCTGGCCGCCGCGAGCGTAAACACGACTAAGAAGAAGAATCCCGACGCCATCTATCGCGCAGGCGCCAACGGAATTGGCACATACGCTCAGGCAATGGAGGGTCTGTTTTTGGCCGAATACGACAGCATCTGCAGCATATTCACCCGCGAAGACTGGGGCCCCCTATTCCAGGCCACATGCCAGGCCGCCATGGCTGAGTTGGCCCGCACGCTACGAGAATTGAACAATCACATCAAGTCTCACCTCCACACCGACTGCTACCTTGCCTATGAGATAACCGAAATCATGTCAGGCTTGTCAAGTAACCTCGAAACGCGTACTGGCGAGCTCAAATCCTCCCTTGCCGCAGCCCTTCGGCCCGTTCGTGAGACCGCCAAATTATCGCTGGGGGAGTTGCTAGAGGATACCAGGCGAAGAGTTACCGCCATGCAGACACTTCCTCAAGACGGCGCTCCGATATCGATCGTGTCCGAGACAATGCAGCGTCTACAGACCATGGTCGAGTTTTTGCGCCCTGTCTCCAGCATAATGTTCTCCTTGGGCGATGGTGGCTGGAAGTCCAGCGCTGCTACTGATGGACGATCTACTGATGTGATACCGAGCCTGGCTTCGTTCGATATCGGCGCTGATGGCAAAGAAATCTTCGCACATTATTGCGCAGATACAGTTGACATGCTGATGTCATCACTTGACCAGAAAGCGAAGATGGTCCTCAAGGGACGAGGCATCATCGGGGTGTTTCTCGCCAATAGCGTGGTCATCATTGAGCGGATGATTCGTGACTCGGATCTGGCCCCCTTGTTGGAGCAACGGATGGGCATGTTGGACCAGTGGCGCAAGAAGGCGACTTCCATGTACACGATGGACTGCAAGGAAGTTTCTACCCACTTGTTTGATGTTATTCACACGAGCAAGCAGCGACCAACGTCCGGGCAAGCTGATTCAGCCTCTATCCTTAAGGGCCTGAGCAGCAGGGACAAGGACAACATCAAGGGTAAGTTCCAAGCGTTTAACGCATCATTTGACGAGATGGTCAGCCGTCACAAGTCATATAACATGGAAAGAGAAGTACGCCAAATGTTTGCCAGGGACATTCAGCAAATGCTTGAGCCTTTGTACAACAGATTCTGGGACCGATACCATGAGGTCGACAAGGGCAAGGGCAAGCATGTGAAATACGACAAGGCTGGCATCGCCGCTGTATTCATGACCCTCTACTGAGAAGGGGCGTTCTTCGGTAGGGCCTACCTACCCAGTTGTTCGAGGTTTCTGCGCAGTTTGGGGCGTCTGTTTACTTGGGCTTTCTTTGGTGGGAGGGCTTGGCGTTATGGATGCGGATACCAACTCATAGTTTGGCGGGCCAGATCTATCTTACACGTCCTGACATACGCTCATCTAGAGTACGAACATGAGCTCTATTGGCGTTTCTGATATCAACAATAACCAAGTGTCTGTTGGGGACAGCATTCTCAAGCAGACCCAGCAATTGACTTTGAATTATCTGGTTCCGTGTGTGTGTGTGTGTGTGTGTGTGTGTGTGTTTTTGTATGTTCCGTCGACTTAAAGACACAAATTGGCAACTGGCATCGGCAAAGGTTTACTTGCAGGGTGATCTCATGGATGTCGTCGACCGTAAGGATCGGCGCCTAGCTATCGATGAGGTGTCTTTTTAAATAGCAGATCCACGCGCTTGGATCTGTCCCAAACAACGACTCCGTCGCTCCGTCGCTTGAACCAAAGAATTCTATGCTGCGGAATGAATTCTTCATGCGTCTGCTCGCTTTTCCACTCCGCCAGAGCCTTCTCCTGTGCCCCTAGAAATCTATCTTCATAACCGACGACGAAGTCGTTTCCGTCTATGTCTGCGTCCCATCTCAGTCTATTGAGAACATCCAGAGCCGTTCGGAACTTGCCCGCACCCTCGGGTTTGGGCACGACCGTTGAGCGTGGCTGGTTTGTGGCCGCCTTCGCCCTCTCCTTCTTGCCCAGCTTTCCCAGCGGTAGGCCCGATACTGAAAGATCCTCCTCGTCCGAGTCTGAATCGTCATCGCCGTCGACGTAGTCGCCCCACTCTCGATTGTCCAGCCTGAGATCTCCCAGCTCGGTGCGTTTAACAAGAGTCGCACTGAACCAGGAAGTCGTCGCATCGTAGTATTTTTCATCGCCGTGAATATGTTCTTCGAATTGATGCAGCACGGCTTGCAGGTTGCTGTGCGTCGTGGTCAGGGTTTCCTTTTCTGGCCTCTCATCCTCGCATATCCATTCTAGGCCGACTAGGTACGAGCCTTGATATTCGCTTTGTTGGCATTGTGAGTTGGGTGTCGCCGCGTCGACGAATCTCGCGGGCCAGATTCTCGGAGCAAGCTCCGGGACCTTCCTGTTGATGTCTAAATCATGATCAGAAAACGGCTGCTAGGGATCTGTACAATTATGAGTTGACTTACCGACGAGGAGTGATGCGCAACGGGACTCGAGCCAACCAACAAGCCGACTCCCACGTTCCAGCGACCCTCCCCAGTAGTGAATGCGGAGGTTCACGAACGTTTTAAACGAGGAAAGGAAGCTTGCGGCGCCTTGTGATAAGTCCTTTTCCGCGATCATGCCAGGTGCCGAAAGAATAGACTGCCAGGTTGCGCCCTCCGCGAATTTGGCGTTGGCTTGGCGTAGCTCCGTCGAGATGATCTTGACCGTGGGAACAGAAGCAATGAGTGCGGTGTTAAGTGTCGGCGAATGCCATCCAAGAAGGCACATGGCTTCTCTGGGCGTCCGGTAATACCGTAGCTGCTTGTGGAAGAATGGATCAAAGACAATGTCGTTCTTCCAGTCGAAGTGCGCATAGTGGTCGAAGAAGGTAGCGATGACGTCGGCCGTCGAAACTGTACCCATGCCATGTAGGAGCATTTTGCACACCCTAACCAACATAACAGACAGGTGAACGCCGCCAAGGTATCCGAACTTGGCTGCGTAGATCCCATTCGCCTTGGCCCAAGTCTTGATCACTTGATAACAGACGCGAAACTGAGCAAGATCCGGGACAGACCTAGCAATGTAGTACATGTCCCTAGCCGGCTTCAATTTCAAGAGCGTCTGGGTTGGCAAGCTGAAAGCTGGATCAGATGGGGGACGCTTCAGCAAGTTTGGCCACTGGTTGGCAACGCTTGCTGCCTGACAATACTGGAGATCGCATCTCAGCCCGAGGACCTCGATCTCGAGCATAGTGCCAGTTTTTGCCTTCACCTTCCGTAGTATCCGAACACCTTCTCCGACCGACTTTCTCAGACGCTGCCTGGCAAGAGTGAAGAAGACGCGAGGGCTGATTGATCCGATGCAGAGGCAGTCAATATCGGACGATTTCGACCATACGCCAAGACCATACGATCCGACAGGAACTAGTACAAGGGCCGGTTGACCACGCAACTGTTCCACATTCGTCTGTTCGTTCTCCCAAAGAATCTTTCGTAGCAGCCCCAGGGCCTGTTTCCGGGTACACTCATCTTTTTCTGCCGGGACAACATCGAGAAGCTCCAAAGTCTGCTTTAGAGCGGCGACATCAGACATAGATCCAGGTGCCCGTTTAGCCTCGACAGGGACGACTCGAGCACTGGTGCTGGGACCATCTTTTAGTGAAGAACGCCGTAAAAGGCAGCGAATACCCCAATGATCGCTTGCGTAAAGGGGCCCACCTGGACTCTCGCCATCGCCAGTGAGGAAGCCAAACATGTTGAACCGAGAGATGTGAAAGGGACCGCCATTTTTCACTAGAATGCGGTCATATCTCTGTGGTCGGTTGTTCAGGCCGCTTCCGACCATTTTCACGGCCTGAGGGTTCGCTCTGGGGTCGAATGTGGCACCCTGTTCGCCTTCAAAACTGTCGTGGATATCGCCCTTGATATTGTCGCTGACGCCGGTCTCGACACGAGAGATAAACCACGTGTCCAGGAAGTTGGTCTCTGCCAGAGTTGCCTCGATTCCACGAAGAAGATCCTCTGTCTGTACTGTAATGGAGCCGCGTTTCACTGCTGCGTCGATAGTGTAAGAAGAAGTGGCTATGTTGAAGTCTCCGGCCAGGATCCATTGGTTTGCTGCGTGATTACTCTTCAGATGGTCGAGTATCCGTTGCAATTCCCTGTCAACCACAGTCAGCTCCGCATTTCTGGACTCAGCGAAATAATCTATTACTTTTCTTTGGCAACGACCGCGCCATCTGTAAGGCCCTGACTTAGATGGCAGGTTGCCAAGACAAGGGGAAGGACTGGTTCCTGAGTATCGTTATGTACGAGATCTTCGAACTGAAGAATGGCTGATCCTTTGTGCTGTCTCTTCGAGGGCAGGTATTCCCACGAGAATGGTCCCCTGCTGAGCACAACAGTGTTGAGAATGTTGGGCAGGGGGCCAGCCTCAGCGTCATTTGGCGAACCCTCAGAGACGTAGAAATACGTTTTGCAGATGCGTTCATCTGCGAGCAGGAAGGCTAGAAAGTCGTCCGTCACCTCTTGGAGAACTACGATGTCCGCAATCGCATTTTCTGCGAGTAGATTTTCCACGATCAAGGAGTATCTGGTCCGGGATGGGGGATAATGAAACTCTGCTAGTACGTTCCAGCTAGCGACAACAAGATTCCCGTGTTGCTTGTTGTCGAAGACCTCAGGTTCGGATGGTTGGACCAGGCGTTTCCACGCCATTTCTGAACGGGAGAAATACCACGTTGGCCGCGGAATGGTTGGCGAAGGTGTATCCGAGCTGGAATTGGGAGCATGTCTGCAAATGTTAAAGGACTGGGAAATTAGGTCAATGACACCCCATTGCCTCATATGTCCAGAAGGACTGCGAACCAGGACTGAGAGCTGGCTAGCCTCCCAGGTTACGGCTGGTAGCCGACGAAGCTTGTCAAGCAAGAACTCGAACTTTGACGAAGGAGCTGCGTCTTCGCACTGAGCCATCGTAAGGTGCATATTGTAGGGCTCTGACCGGCTCTGGCCGATGGCCGCGAGTATGGCGCCTCGCAGCGATGTTAGCCGGGAGATATTCCCCTCATTCTCGTCACGCAAGAAGAGGGTGCTGCCATTTTTGTGAGAAAAAAAGCCCGGTGAATCAAGACGGATAGGCAGGGGAGCGAGCTCGCCTGAGGCGGCACGGTCCTTCAGGCACGATACAATGGCATCACAAGCCTGATGCAGCACGCTACTCTCCGTGGATCTGACGAACGGATAGATGAGATTGACATGAGGCGGCCATTTCGTGTAGGCCTTGTCGTTGTCAAAGCGAAGACGATTGATTGCCGTCCAATGCTCCTCTGGGGGGATGATACAGAGAGCTGTAGCGTGGCTTGCTGCTTGGGACTCCATGATACTCGGAGAGCTCTGCCGAACAGAGACCAGTGTATGACCGAGAGATATGGTGATGACTGTGCCTTGAGGTGCCTGAATGTTCCGGACTGGGAATGTGATGCGAACAGGGTGTAAGAGAGACAATGTAAGAAGGGAAGAGGTCTATTGAGCGCGAAATTGATACTGGGTTGTGTGTAAAGATGAAGTGATTAGGGGACTGTGATCTTTAAGAGCCAACTCGCAAAGATGTTGATGTGTTGCTACAGAGAGTGCATTTGTAGATCCAGGGACCATTCAGCCATGTTCAGTCTCAGACGGCCTACCCATGTATGTGTGCAAGCCAGAGCTATTGTTGCATTGCAGAAGTTCTAGAAGGAAAACTTACTGCAGCGGTGGACTGCGGGGAAGCCCACGCGCAGAGAATGATGTACAATCGTGACATGCCAGGCCGTATGCGTCAGAGCAAGGCCCGCATAGTCTCGCTGCCATCCTCTTAACCACCTAGACAAGCCGGCCTGCGGTTTTGTGACTCACGGAATTGGGGGGGGGGGGGGGGGGGGGGGGGGGGGGCTTGTCCAAAAAAAGATTGTGCTATGGAAGCGAGTTCGCCGGTGACTCAGTTGGAGTTGGTGTAAAATGCGACAAGCACTGCCTCGAAATCCGCAGTGCGTTCCCGGTCCAGCGGTGGGTCTTCGAGTCCTTTGGACCCGTGCGCCCAGGTGAGACCAGCTGGCAGCGTCACAGACAGGTGCTTGAAAGAGGTTCGGTGCCTTCGGTAGGTTGGCCGATCATTCCTGCACATTGTACCTTACTACCTTACCTACCTAGGTACCTAGGTTTATTTAATACGGGCTCTTCGATGACCTCTCTATCTATCCCTCCAGCTCGGCCTCATCTGGCATGTCTATCGCTTCAACTCCTCCCCAGTCAATTGAATCTTGACCCTTGCCCTCCATCAAAGCCTCCAGCTTATCCTCATTAGTCACGTATGCGCCGTTCTGTCTCTTTTGCGAGACTGCGTATCTGATCGGGTCCCGCCACTCCTACGAAGAGCAAACACGTTAGCGAGCCTAGATACCTAGGTAGGCAAGTACTGTTAGCAGGTTTGGGCAAAAGCTTACCCGCCACCAGACTTCTTCGCTTTGTACAGCGTATCTCCTTCCTTCATCACCGCTTTTTGCCGTCGCAAATGGCCAAACTGACTGCACCACTTCGTACTTGTGCTTTCCCGAGAAAAGCTTCTTCATGCTCGTCATGAACTTGTTTGCCTTCGGCTGGTTTTGCACCACCACCTTGGCGTGCGTTACGGGAAACGACACATGGAGCACTCCTTTGTACTGCGTCGCGGCCAACAGGGCTCGCAATTGACCTTCGATCCACATCGTGTCCAAGTTTGCAACTACTCGATCAAGTGCTATGTTGCACTCTGTTAGTTACCCAGTTCGACAAAGTAGATACGGTTTGATAGGGTCCTCACCGAAACTTTTGACCTGCGCTGGATCTTCAATAAAGCGGCGGCACCACTCCTCAAGCTCTCTTTCGCCAACTTCGGGAATGACGTCTGGCTTTACTCCGCCCCTGTACGCCATCTCGCCCTCACTGACACAGCGAATGTACTGCATGCGCTTGCTCGTGTCATCCGGCACCAGCAAACCCATCAGATTGAGCTTGATGTCGAAGTCGACCTTGCGTCCTCGCGTCCCTTTCATGTGTATGAGAGGCTTGGGCGGGATGCTTGCCTGGGTCCTGATGAGGGATAGAAGGGCACTGGCGCTCGCTGACAGATGGTCTGACCTGGAAGAGAGAACGATACAGTCTGTCGATAGGCTGAAGTTCGGCGGTGAGTAGAGCTTGTAGTCTAGTCTTGGTAAGCCTGGGTAGTACATGGGTCCTGGACTTTCTCGAGCTCGGATCGAAACATTCGTTTCTGAGAAGTTGGATGGGCCAGAATAGGGCGGTGGGGTCAACGAGCTGGCACTGTCTGGTGTCACATCATCGTAGCTACGGCTGCGGGCTGCCAGCAAGCTTTTCTCTTGCACTAGAGATGTAGATGACGGTGTAGATTCTGGCGTAGGTTGTATCGGTGCTGGCGCCGGTTGCGTTGAAGTCCTTGGGGCCGACGAAGCCGTAAATGTCGGAGGAGGAGGCGGAGGCGGCGTCGGCGTCGACGGTGTCACGGTTGACGGCGGCAACGGTAAGGGGGGCAGCATAGACTCGTCAACGGTCGTCATTCTGGCAGGCGCGTCTCCGAGTACTTGGTAATGCGGTTGGTGAAATGCAACATGCAACCTGGTTAGTTTGAATTCAAGCCGAACCTCGAGAATCTCGGCAGGCGGGGGGGCGGCGGCGGCGGCACGGCGAGGCCAGAATGGAGAAGAGCTCAACTTTACTCGCACTGGAGGCAAGATAATTCAGGGCGCTTTATTAAGTATCTTTGCGCGGCTGTCTAGGCCAGGGGCAAACGGCTTATCAAAAGCAATGTTTCCGAGACCAGCGTCCATGGCTCCGACGGTATGGATTCAGCTTACGCCCATGGCTTACACTGGGGGCCTTGGAGGCAGAGATCTCCATGCCTTTAGGCACCATCAACTTCAGCCCCGCGGCGCAGCGTTCCCTTGCTCGCTCCTCATCTGCACCTAGCCACTTACGGCAACTGGCGTCGGCCGCTCGAGGATCGCCATCCTGGACGCGTTTGCTGAGCCAAACCAATCCTGAGGCAACGAATTGCCCATGTCGTTAGTGTAGTTGTCTTGGGGCGCATATATTGTGCCTCATGTTCATAAACCGTGATTGCCGCGACCCACGACGCAACAGGAAAAGTCGAAACGCGATGGGTCTCCGGTATCGAGGATACATCGTCTGCCACTGCCAGTAACATTGAGTGGTTAGACTGCATGGCCTTTTGCCATTCGTCTACTTGCACTACCTATCCGTATGGTTAACTTGATGAGAGGAACGGAGCGCAATTCTGCCCTACACAATGCTTCCATCTCTCATGACCCAACGCCAAAATAATGTCCCAAAAACCATAATGTGCTATTGCGAAGCCCTCTCAAGCCTGTTGCCGCGATGCCATGCTTGAACCCTCAACGCCCACTCCGTCGAATCGCTAATACATCCATCATACAGTCGTTCGAGCATTGTCTTGTGCTGCTCAGCCAGAGCAACTGGTGAATTGCAAATCAAACAAGCTGAAAGCCTTCATCCTCTGCGGCGGACATATGCTCCTGACGAAGGTTCTGACGCGCTTTGCGACCCTTCAGAACTTGACCGTTCTCACTGAGAATCTCATACTCCTTCTCGACCATTCGTTCCGTCTCACGGCCTGAGGTTTTGATGAAGACATCGAGCGTCAGGGGGCGATTGGGGCTCTCCGTCTTATCGAAACTGTACTTCCAGTCTTCTGAGGCAGCAAGATTCTTCCAGCCGCCCTGAGAAGGGGCAAGATCCATGAGAGATTGGCTGAGGGGATCCTTGATTTGCTCCTTGGCCTGCAGCGCCGAGTTGAGACGGCCCTGGTGAGGCGCCCAGTGCGATCGCCCCTTCATCACATTGTTCTGCATCTTCTTGAAGTGGGAACTATCTCTGGTGTCAGCGACATCTCGGTTCGGGATCTAGCAAAAGAACGTACATCTCGCTGTTCTTGCCTCTGGGACGAGTCTTGGCGCGCTGTTGCTCAGTGCCTCCAATAGCTTCGAGGGTGGCCCAATCTAATCGGCAGCCTGCGAGAGGACGAGCTCCGTTGGACCACTTAGACTGGGAATCCTTGGTCCTCTTGTAGTCCTGGTGTGCGCTCCGGAGATCTCGCTCGTACTGAGCCTGGACATCGGTCATGGCAGCCATGATGCTTGTATATGTTCGAATTTGTACCGGAAGGTTCTGTGACGTGACGTCGCCGGTCGCGTTTCTATGACAAAGGGGCGGGCAGGTTCGAAGAGTGTAAACCTAAGTCGACAAAGCTTATGTTCTCTGTCGATAGCGATAATAGTCTGGGCGATTTGCTCGACACGTAGAATCGAGGCAAGGGTCGGTGTGGATAGTTGCTGGGAGAGAGATGACGGGAGATATAAGAGAGGTAGCCGAAGGAATCTCTGGGGTTATGCCCGTTTCGGTGCTCGGACTGACTTTGGAAGCAAGGCAAGGCGGAGGCTAAGGCAAGGAAGGCGTGGTGTTGGTGGTGCTGGGTAGCAGGAGAGGTAACCGAGGCTTGTGAGGTAATCGCTGTGTTGGTATTGGGGCAGTAGATGCCGGGTGAGTCACCGGGCTGAAGGTTGCCGGAGATTGCAGAACGCGAGGCCAAAAACGAAAGAGGCGCGGATGCGGGGGAGGTTACGAAAAAGGGAAACCGAGAGCAAAAATAGAGCGAGATGGAAAGAAGGACGAGTGTATGAGTTTGCACAGCACTTGTTGGCGCAAGCAGTTTGATGAAGAGGTGGGTGTTAGGCAAGTGATGCGGTTAGAATCAAAGACATATACAAGAGTACAGGGTTGGGGCAGTATGAATGTTTATGAGGTAGTTGAGGAACAAAGGCAAGACGAGTCAGAAGACGAAGGCCCGGGTTGCGGGATTCCTTAGGTATATACCTTAAGACCGGATGGCTCAGGTATCCTTACGTTATCAAGGCAAGTTCTGGTCACAAGGGAAAGTGGCACGGGAGGCTAACAAACCGGGCTGAGGCCTGGGACGGGACGAGACGAAGGAAGTCGAGGACGGAAGTCGAGGACGAGGAACGAGGGAGAAGGAAGATGGTAGTGACGAAACGCGACGAGAGCGAGCTGCTTATCTCTCGGGTTGTCTCGGGGTGCTTGCTTAGGCATCTCATCCCACCCAGGCATGACCTGGGCTTTCGTGCTTTTCATCGTACCTAAAAGGATGGCAGCGGGCTTATCGTCTCGGCTCAGCGGGCATGCGGGCGATAAGAAGGCCGATAGGTGAGGTAGGTGGTTGTGATGCAGCATGATAAAGCTTGGGGCGTGGCTAGAGACACTGTCGGACATAGGTTGGAGGGGTGTGTGCATGTGGCACACGCAGCACGGTGCTGGCGGTCCTCCTGCACACTGAAGATGCTGCAGAAGATGCTGCAGCTGGTCCTGTTTTTGGCCGAAATGAGTCGAATCCTCCAATCAAATCAGCTGGGCAAGCCGGGGGCGGCTACCCTGAGATAGGTACCCAGCAGCGTGGGGGACGACGGGGGGAGGGGGGGAATAGGGCGTAAGTGGGCAAGTGCGACTGGTGACAACTGCATGCAGCTGCGTTTGGCTGCGGTCTGCGGTCTGGAATCACCGAATCAGTCAGTCAGTCATCAAGGATGAACCAGTCACGTCGCCGCCGCCAAAGTGATGTCATCCATGCACCGCCCAGTCAAAGTCGACACGAGCGTCAGCAGCGCCAGCGCCGACTCCCGGCGCATTCAAGTGCCTTTCTGACGAGTACCAAGAGGGCGCAGGGCGCCTGCCGGTTTCCCATCTTAGCCCCTGACCAAGCAAGACACGCGCGTGGGCTCGCCGATGACGATGGGCCGACCATCTACCACAACATCCGGCCTGCTGCTGCCTTTCCGTCAGCTGGCAACTCTTTGCCCACCTGACAGACTGTTCTGCTGGGCTGCCCTGCCCAGCGCCCGTCAACACATACCTACAGGCTACGGTAAGGTAGGTAGTAGAGTTCCCCAGTTCTACCCCTACCTGGCCTTACCGCAATACCTACATGCCTTGCCCTGGGCCTTGCGCATCCTCTCCCCCATCCCACCATCTACTACTGGTTAGGCACATACTGGTCAGTCATACGGCCTTTCTCAGCCGCTCTTTTTCCTTCTCAACCCAAGGCTTTCCGACCTGCGCTGCGTTTCTGCGATCGGAGTCCCTTTCGGATTTTGACAGACGTTATTGGTCTTACGTTTTCGTCATTTATGACGTCTGATACCAGAAGCATGCGCCTGGCTTGTTGGTCCTCGCGCCCTCAACCCGTGAAACACACAAAGACACATAGTCGCTTACGTGATGCACTTTTTCTGTGGGCTACATATGTAGGATCACATGACCGTAACCGGCCACCAACGAGCCAGAAGCAGATCCAAGCACAGCCGTGCTGTTCTTCTGTCTTACCTTCGAATGATCTTAAGTGAGGTCCGGGCTTGATCGGTTCCTAGGCCGTCTGCACTTCCCAGGGCAGGCGGCGGTGCTGCCGCTCCCGGGCCCCAGTTCCAAGTCCCATGCCCACGATGCGACGCATTGATCACTCTTCGTCTTGGCAACCACACTCCCGAGTCCCGTCTCTCCTGGGGAGTAACCTACGCCAGGAAACCCCCCATTGCGTGCATTACCACTTTCGCCGTCAAGCAGCTGTCTCTTTACCACAACGCATTGCCGCTGGTGCTTGGAGACCAAGGCGGCGGTCGACGGTCGACAGCTCCCTCCCGTCACACTTACGGGAACCATCCGGTTGAACAGACAACCAACACGTTGGATCCCTGGGCCAAACCACAACTTGGGGTCGACACTGCTCACATCGTGAATACCTCGACAACATTCAGTCTAGCCCATGAATAGTTCAAACGCCATCATACTTCACAGCCCATCCTTCCTGCAGCCACCCATAGCTCTCCCGTCACTTTTTTTTTCGCGTTGCCGCCGCCAGGACTCTCATCCTCCTCTGGCGCAACTCTCCTGATCCGTCTGCACGATTCAGGTCGCTCAATCTAGGGTTTTGAACGAGCATCGAATGTCGATATACCATCGCTTGGCAACCATGGAAGGTCTTCGCCAAAACAACATCCACCAAGCGATGCTTTACGAACAGCTACAGGCCCGATGCGACCTTCCAAGTATTCATGTGAGTGAGTCACTTCCTCCAATGTCACGTTGTCTGGTCAATGGCCTCACAGTATTTGCGCTCTGCTATGAACGAGCCGCGGCGGACACTGGAAGCCATAGAGTGATCAGGACACCAGTCACCCGTCCATACCGCCAGGATGGACTCGCGCTATGGCGGTGATGGCATCCGCCATTCGTACGTTTGTTGCTACAGGCCAAATCTGCGTGGGCACTAACACACGCCGAATGTTGTTGACAACCAGCCCATGGCCCCGATAAAGATAGGACTGCCTGCGGAGTATAGCGAGCAGACTGATAGGGCGCAGTCGGGCCAGCAGCCCAGGAAGTGACCACCGGCCGCACGACGGAGGAAACGGTAGCATGTTGCGAACTCATTGACGCATATTCCATCATCAAGCCTATCAAGCTGACTGGGTCTCTGGAGATGATGGTGTACCTGGGGATGAGAAACTGTGGCGCGCCATCCCAGACGGCCCCCGTCTACATCTCATCAAAAGCCTGTGTGGAGCGAGGGCTGGGTTCGCTGTTTGTGTCGTAACTCGCGCTGAGATTCATGGACACAGCTAGGCCTGGATGCCAGGAGAAAGAAGATGGCCTTCGACGGCTAAATTCGTTTCCCAGGTTTAACGCAGCTTTGCACTGACCCGTCAAGTGTGGGGGACGTGGCTAATTTCATGTTTATTTTTGCAACCGATCCAGGCACTTGGCTTAGCTGAGGAAAGCTACGACGCTAGAATGCACATCTTCACTTGTTTCATGTTCCTCTAGTGAGCGACAAAGGGGGCATCAGAAAAGTTTGTGTGTCACCTCGACCTTCATGATGAAAATGGCTTCACTTATCTGGCCA